AATAAAATAAAATAAATGTGGTGGATCAAGACCAGAATTACATTAAAAATGAAAAAGAATAAAAATAGAACAGTGCTAAAAAAATAGAACAGAAAATAGTGTATCATCTATAGTAAGGATAAGTATAAGTATATTGCAAGAAATATTTATGAAATATGTATGTTTGCCAGCGTGTATTATGACATAAAATGTATTTGTTGCTGTGGTTTAGACAAAGAGTTTGAAACACATTCCCTTACCTTTACATGTGGAGGAAAATAAATGAATGAATGTCTGGATGAATGAACAAATGGGATCTTTATCACTTGATTATGACAAAGGAAATAGATATTATTGGGTAAAATTCCTGCTTTAATATCACACTCCTAGATGACATCTAAGCATGAATACAGTAGCTATCGTATATTTTTCATTCAGTAAAATTGTATATGCCAGGCACACCAATTTTCTAAGTACCAAGCAGAACTAGGTTGCAAAAGTATTTCTTTAGTACTCTTAAGATGATATTCGGATATCTGGTGAATCATTAAAATAAATTGTGTCAAAATACTTTAATTTGCAAGTAAAAGACAAACAGGCTTAAACATAAAGGAAATTTATTACCTTACATAACTGAAAAGACCAGTGGTAGGTCATGCTTGAGGTATGGTCTAATCAGGTGGTAAGTCTGTTTCTCAGTATTTCTATTTAGTCTTCCTATTCATGGGTTGAATCTTCAGACCGATTTCCCTCATAGTACTAGCAGTTTCAAGGTACTTTCCTATATTCTATACATCCCAGCCTCAATATCTCAGAAGCTCCCCAAAAAAGTCCCCAAACTGACACTGATTGGTCCATCTCTGCTCTCACATTCAACCATGAGCCAGTGTGCCCAGTGTAGAAAGTGAAAGTAGAATGTACTGAATGCATTAGCCTAGGTCAATGCTTCATTCCTACAGCAAGATATACAAAGGTCAGTGCTTCATTCCTAAAGCTAGAGGTTTATCAAAACCACATGGAATCAATACATCAAGAGCCCTAATACACAAGATGCAAAAACTGACAGAATTGGAAGGAGAAATAGAGGAATTCAACAATACTACTTGGAAACTTCAATACTCTACTTTCTTTTTATTATTATTATTATTATTTAAGTTTATTTTTGAGAGAGAGATAGACAGACAGAACATGAATGGTGGAGGGGAAGAGAGAGGGAGATACAATTTGAAACAGGCTCCAGGCTCCAAGCCGTCAGCACAGACCCCAACATGGGGCTCAAACTCACGAACTGCAAGATCATAACCTGAGCCGAAGTTGGACACTTAACCCACTGAGCCACCCAGGTGTCCCAATTCTCCACTTTCAGTAATGGTCATCTAGGACAACTGAGCAGACTGTAAACAAAGAAATTTGCTTGAAAAACACAACAAAATAACTAGATTTAACAAACATCTATGGATACTGCATAACAATAGCTGAATACACATTTTTCCCAAGTACACATGGAAAATTCTCCAAGATAAACCATGTGCTAGGGCATAAAAAAGAAGACTCAACAAATTTAAGCATGGTGAAATTATGCCAAACATGTTCTCCAAACATGGAATTTAGCCAGAATAAAAAACAGAAGAAAATTTGGAAAATTAATTTGTATACGGATGTTAAGTGACACACACCCAAATAACCAATTGTTCAAAGAAGAAATCATAAAATTAGAAAATACTTTAAGATAAATAAAAATGAAAACATAAAAAAAAAACAAAACTTAGGGGATACACCTAAAACACTACTTAAAGAGAAATACGCTATATGTAAATGCCTATATTTAAGAAGATGATTTCAGAAGCTCCTGGGTGGGTGGCTCAGTGGGTTATGAGTCAGGTCATAATCGACTTCAGCTCAGGTCATGATCTCTAGGTTCTTGCATTCGAGTCTTGCGTTGGGCTCTGTGCTGACAGCTCAGAGCCTGGAACCTACTTCAGATTCTGCGTCTGTCTGTCTATCTGTCTCTCTCTCTCTCTCCCCCCCCCCCCCCCCCCCCGCTCACGCTCTCTCTCTCAAAAAAATAAACATTAAAAAAATTTTTTAAAGATTATTTCAAATCAATAACCTAAGTTTCCATCTTTATAAAACTGGAAAACAGCAAACTAAACACAAAATAAGTAGGAGGAAGGAAATGATAAAGATTAGCATAGATCTTCATGAAAGAGAGAATAGAAAAATAGAGAAAAGCAACAAATCCAAAAATTGATTCTTTGAAAATAACTACAAAATTGACAAGTCTTTAGCTAGACTGGCAAAGATGAAAACAGAAAAGTCAAGTAACTGAAATGAACAAGGGGACATAACTACAGTAATTTTTAAAAAGGATTATAAAGGAATATTATAAATAACTGTTTGCCAGCAAATTAGATAATCTAAGTGAAATGAATAGAACAATACAAACTACTGAAACTCAAAAAACAGTAGAAAATCTGAATGGAATTATAACTAGTAAAAAGATTGAATTAGGAATTTGAACCCTACCACACCCCCCAAAACAAGATCAAGAAAGACACCAAGAGTTCTAATGCACAAAGAAAAGGCCATGTGAAGACAAAGTAAGGAGAAATCCATCTGCAAGCCAGAAGAGAGGTGGCACCAGAAATCAACCCTGTTGGCACCTTGATCTTGGACTTCCAGCCTCCAGACTGAGAAAATAAATTTCTGTTTTTTAAGCCACTCAGTTTGTGGTATTTTGTTATGGAAGTTCTAGCCAACTAACACAGAAGTCTTTTTCAATGCTCATAGCAATTCATTATACTTCCCTTATAGCAATTTTCAAAAGTTACTTAATATTTTTAATTTTTTTTAATGTATACATTGTTGGAAGCCTAGGTTCTGATGTTCCCCCTGCCCATTATTGTTCTTTGTACTTAGTCACTTGCTTAGACTAAATCTGTAAATTCTGTCTCTCATGCAATGTGTGGCCACTGAAATCTGTTTTTAATTTTTATTCATTTATTTTATTTTTTTAGTATATTTATTTTGAGAGAGAGAGAAAGAGAGAGAGGATCCCAAGCAGACTCCATGCTGCCAGTGCACAGCCTGATGGGGGGCTTGAGCTCATGAACTGTGAGAACATGACCTGAGGGGAAACCAAGAGTCAGACACTTAAGCGACTGAGCCACCCAGACTCCCCTATTCATTTTTTTTTAAGTTTATTTATTTTTTTAGTAATCTCTGCACCCAATGTGGGGCTCGAACTCATGATCTCAAGATCAAGAATCGCATGCTCTTCCAATTGAACCAGCCAGGTGCTCCTTAATTTCTCTTCCTGTTTTTATTTTTAAGTTCGGCTTCCTACATAGCTTAGTATTCAGTCAAAGAAAGACTGTGTTCAAACAACTCAAGCCAGTAAGACTTTCACTCTACTGGTGGGTCAGTGTGTGCACTGGGGAGTACCTTCAATGTTCATGTTGTTTTCATGTCTCGCCTGGCTTTTACTTTATTCTAAGTGCTCTTGTACTTTCTTGCTTCTTTATGTTGCATGTGCTGTTGGTTCCACTGGCCCAGAATGTTTGCATGATTTAGGCCTACTCAGTTTGTGTCTTTGATACACATACTCACAGCAATTGGTCCACTCCAGATATGTGGAGAGCTCATCAAGCCCCCTATAGCTATGTGAGCTCTGAGAAATTCCTGTTAAATCCCTGCCTACTCTGCAAATCCATTGCTTGCCCCAAACACTCACAATAGCAAGGAAGCAGAGCCACCTGCCATCCATGTTTGCTTGCTTGCCACTGAGCTCACCAGTTTAACTTCTAATGCTCTAAATCAATCAAGCCTCCTCTGGCCAAAGCAGCAAGACTGTTGTTGGTTTTCATGTTCTGCCTCAACCAAGGTGAACCTCTGTGCCAACAGAACTGATGTGGGGACATGACAGTAATCCCAGGCAGGAACAGCAAGCCATGTTATTGATCTCTGAAATACAGTGGCTTTCATAAATAAGCACTTTGCAGCTTGTAGTATGCCTTTATTATTATTTCTAGAGTGCCAAGTTATTCTTTTGAAAGACTTGTACAGCTTTATACTTACTTTTTGGGGAGAGGATGTGTCAACCTCCTTACTCCATCATGCTGAAGTAAATCTTAATTTTATCTCTCAAAAAATATCGAGAATTCCACCCAGAGTCTTAGTAATGTAGTATCTAGTTTCCATGGTTAAATGATTCAGGATCCCAAGAATAACATTTTACTTTTGAGACCTCTAGAGAAGAAGTGACAACCACATAACTGACAAAGTTAACTCACAGCAGACCAGGGTTTCCTGTATTTTGTATATAGTATTATATTTTAGAATACATTTTTGTATGTAGACTAGCTCCTGTGTTTTGGAGTTGTTTTCAACCTTACTTCATAACTTAATTGACATATTTTTCTTTTAATTTCAGAGTTCAGTTAAGTTCCTTATGTCCTCCCCTGAAATTGCTTCCCTATCATGGGGGCAAATGAAAGTACAAGGCTCTACTAAAACCTATAAGGACTGCAAAGTGTGGCCAGGGGGAAGTCGGGCTTGGGACTGGAGAGAAACAGGAACTGAGGTAAGCTATGAGTGTGTGGTTGACACTGCATGAGGCTGACCAAATGATTTCCAACCTCCTAAGCCATTATGACCAAGTGAAAAGTAACTATTCCTCTCTCTCTCTGTCTCTCCCCCTCCCTCTCCCTTTCCCTCTCCCTCTCCCTCTCCCTTGCCTTCTCCCTCCTCCTCTCACTTCCCCACCCAGAGATATAACTCAGGTACCATTAACTCACCCTTTTAAATTATGCAATTCAATGGACTTTCTATTGTCATACACTTGTACAGTACTTACCACTACTAATTCCAGAATATACTTACCACCCCAAAAGGAAACCTCATAACCATTAGCAGTCACTTCTCTTCCCTCCCCCCAACTCCTACAACTACTAATCTACTTTTTTTTGTTTTTAAGATTTTATTTTTTTAAGTAATCTCTACACCCAACTTGGGACTCAAACTCACGACCCCAAAATCAAGAGTCACATGCTCTACTGACTAAGCTAGCCAGGAGCCCCTAATCTACTTTCTGTTACTATAGATGTGCTTATTCTAGACTTTTCATGTGAACAAAATCATTCAATTCTCTTAGGTATATACCTAAGATTGGAAATGCTGGGTCATGTGACAACTCTATGTTTAATTTTTTGAGGAACTGCCAAATTGTTTTACAAAGATTTTAGGAATTATGGAGGTTCCAATTTTTCTAAATCTCTCCTGTTTTTTTTTGTTGTTGTTTTTATTGTATCATCTGGGTGGGTGTGAAACATTATCTCGTTGTGGTTTGAACTTGCATTTTCCTTGTATTGTACTTCCTACAGGATTCTCACTGTGCCATACCCAGGTAGAGTCTCCCAAGCTAGAGGTTGGGTGAAAGAAGGGAGCCCCTACCTCTCAACCACATTCACTTAGGACTTCTCGGCAACAGACAGCTGGGAGCAGGATGAGAAATACTTAAGTCCTGTTCCTCCCAGGAACAAAGCCTTCCAGCTGGTAGCTGAAAGGGGAAACAGCTCTGTGTTGTGGGCTGATGCAATCCAGTGGAGTATCCACCTCACTGGCTGGGAGTGGAGAAGCAGGCAGCAGTCTTCCTGAGAAACCATAGATATTCACCTTGCCTACCAAATATTTATAGAATTTCCTGAAGAGATGTTTTTCTTTTTCTGTTTTTTTGAGTTTATTTAGAGAGAGCGAGCGAGTGGGGGAGGGGCAGAGAGAGAACACAAGACAGGATCCCATGCAGGCTCCGTGCTGACAGTAAAGAGCCCAGTGTGGGACTCGAGCCCACAAACTGCGAGATCATAACCTGAGCTGAAGTTGGATGCTTAACTGACCGAGCCAAACAGGCACCTCAAAAGATGTTTCTTCATTTGCTGTTTGCTCTTAGAATCATTTCCAAAGGCTTTGAGTGGTATTCTTTTTTCCAATTTTTTTTGGGGGGGGGTGGTTAAAATTTGTCTTTTGTTTGTGTGTGTGTGTGTATGTGTGTGTGTGTGTTTTAGTTTTTGTTTCCTTTTTTTTTTTAATTTTTTTTAATGTTTTATTTATTTTTGAGACAGAGAGAGACAGAGCATGAATGGGGGAGGGGCAGAGAAAGAGGGAGACACAGAATCGGAAGCAGGCACCAGGCTCTGAGCCATCAGCCCAGAGCCCGACGCGGGGCTCGAACTCACGGACCACGAGATTGTGACCTGAGCTGAAGTCGGACGTTTAACCGACTGAGCCACCCAGGCTCCCCTAGTTTTTGTTTCCTTTAATAATTTTCATTTTGGAGGAGGTTATGGAGCTCCTCATACTGTAATGATGAAAGTTGATCCTTCAGTTTTAAAGGATAATTTTGCTTGATACATAATTCTTGATTAATAGTCTTTTTCTTGGGGTGCCTGTGTGGCTCAGTCAGTTAGGTGTCCAACTTGGGCTCAGGTCATGATCTCATGGTTCATGAGTTTGAGCTCCACGTCAGGCTCTATGCTGACAGCGCAGAGCCTGGAGCCTGCTCAGATTCTGTGTCTCTCTCTCTCTCTCTCTCTCTCTCTCTCTCTCTCTCTGGCCGTTTCCTGCTCATGCTCTCTCTCTCTCAAAAATAAATAAACATTAAAAAAAAATTTGTTTAAGTCTTTTTCTTTTGGCCCTTTGTGTATGTCATCCCACTTTTTTGGCTTCATTGTTTACTAATGGGAAACCCAACTGTTAAAGTTCTTCGTTGGACTTGACAGGTCATTCCTCTCTTGCTGCTTTCAAAATTCTTTGTCTTTTGTTTTTGACAGTTTCACTGTGATGTGTCTACATGTGGATCACTTTGAATTTATCTTATGTGGAATATATTGAGCTTTTTGGATATGTGCATTGTTGTTTTTGTCAAATTGGGAGGATTTTCAGTCATTCTTCAAATATCCCTTCTGCCCATTCTGTCTCTCCTCTCCTTTGATATCCATTATGAGTATATTGGTATTTTAGATGGTAGTCCCTCAGATGTCTGAGGCTTTGTTCATTTTCTTCATTCTTTTCCCTTTTTTCTCACATTGTATAATCTAAATTAATGTATTTTTCACTTTTGCTGACTCTTACCTTCTGTTGAGCCTTTTTAGTGAAATTTTCACTTCAGTTATTATACTTTTCAACTCCAGCATTTCTATTTTGTCCTTAAAAAAATAATTTCTATCTCTTTATTGATATTCTCTAATTTTTAAGGTATTGTCCTTATACTTTCCTTTAGTTCTTTGAATATAGTTTCCTGAGATAATATTTGACAGAGATTTCCTTATATGCCTGGAACCAGTAGGTATTCCAGTGTTTGCTGAGGGGCTCTGTTTGCAGTTTGCGGTATGTAGTCAACACTCAGCCAGACAGTTTAAAATTATGCCTATTTAGGGGTGCCTGGGTGGCTCAGTTGGTTGAGCGTCCGACTTCGGCTCAGGTCATGATCTTGCGGTCCATGAGTTCGAGCCCCACATCGGGCTCTGTGCTGACAGCTCAGAGCCTGGAGCCTGCTTTGGATTCTGTGTCCCCCTCTCTCTCTGCCCCTCTCCCACTCATGCTCCATCTCTCTCTAAAGTAAATAAACATTAAAAAAATAAAAAATAAAATAAATAAAATAAAATAAAATTCTGTCTATTTCTTGCTTATGCTGAGTCTCAAGATTAGCCAGAGTGGTGTGTATAGGGCCTTCTCATGTCATTCCTGAGCATATGCACAACCCTGGACATGTGTATCACCATTTCAATACCAAGGTTCATATCAGAGTTTTTCAGAGCCCTCTATGGAGATCTCATTTCCCAGTTTTCCCTTTTGAGTTTTTTGGTTAACCTTGTTTGCCCTGCTATCTAACGCATCAGGCAGCTGCACTGTTAAACATTTGTCTCTGACAGTTTTGGACAAACTTCTTTGAGGGGAAAAAGAGGTTTATACTGGCAAACTCCAAGTCAGATCAAATAAAGACAACCTATGAATTGGGTTTTCCAGAGAACCATCAGACAGGTCAAATAATGACAGTTTTTTAGGAGAGGAGATTTGAAGGAGTTTTATTCTGTTATTCCATCTTGTGACTTCCAGGCTGGTAGTTTTCACTGTGATTGTGGGTTGTTGCTTTTCAAGGCTACCAGAGAACTAGGGAAGGAGAAAATTGGAATAGGGCAAGTTAAAATTGCACAAAGCTCACTTTTCAACTGTGTTTTTTTAAATAAACACATCCTGAATTTTTGGAGACCTTTGTTAACTTCCAGAGAACAGAGTAAGTTTATGTTTACACTTTTGCCAGTAGTCTCATTGCTTTTATGAAGAAGAGGATTTTCAGAGGTTCTTCACAACACTTTCACGGATGTCACTCAGAAGTAACTACTTTGGATTCATACTTGTGCAGTGGTGTGCTGGACGTGGCTTTCACTGGCTTGTGAGAATTGATTGTTAAATTTTCAGGAATTTTGTAAGCCAGCTTTTTTTTTAAGTTTATTTGCCTATTTTGAGAGAGAGAGAGAGAGAGAGAGAGAGAGAACAGGAGGCACAGAGAGAGAGAGAAGGAGAGAGAGAATCCCAAGCAGGCTCTGCACTGTCAGCATAGAGCCCAATATGGAGCTCAGTCTCACAAACTGTGAGATCATGACCTGAGCCAAAACCAAGAGTTGGACGCTTAACCAGCTGAGCCACCCAGGTGCCCATGCAAGCCAGTTTTTAGACACAGCCATTATTAAAAACTAAATTATATAAACTTAAATAAGGTTAAAACATAGGTAATACATATTTAAAATTCATTAATTCCTAATTATTTTACTACATTCTTTGCTCTTGAAGTTATTTACATCTGTTGTTATCTGTATGGTAAAAATACTATGTTATATATGTTACTGTATATCTCTTATTAACTCTGCATTCAGTGATGTCACATTGGTATCTTAAAGTCAAACATGGTGGGAGTGTTTACACCACAGAAATTGGAAAACACTACATATTGGGGCTTTTTTTTTTTCTTTGTCTTTTGAACTTTATGGCTTTTAAAAAATTTTTATGGGGGCACCTGGTTGGTTCAGTCGGTTAAGCATCTGACTCTTGGTTTCAGTTCAGGTCATGATCTCACAACTTATCAGATTGAGCGCTGCATCGGGCTCAGTGCTGATGGTGCAGAGTCTGCTTGGGATTCTCTCTCTCCCTCCCTGCTCCTCCCCTGTTTGCATTCTCTAAATAAACAAACTTTTAAAAAAATAAAAAAAAATTTTATGGCTTTAAAAATTGCATTATTAAACATAATAAGTTTAATTCATTGCAAATTATTACCCATATTATCCATTTAATTAAATGGGTAAATTAAATTACCATTCCAATTAAAAAAAATCTTAGAAATAGAGTTTGATCCCTTTCCCTCCACCCATATCAAAGTATTTCCTTTATGCTTTTCAAATATCTATCTGTATCCACAACCCATAATTTGTATTGTTCTTCATGTTCAAATTTTTATATTAATGGTATCATCTGTTGTCCACCTTTTTTTTTTTTTTGTATTGAGGTTTTATTCTGCTTTTGTGTCTCCCT